ATAAGAAATGTTCTTAGTCGGCAATTGCTGGGAGATAAAAATAAAAAGAATTTTTTTTTTTAAATAAAAGCAAAAGTAGACATTGATTGATATGATATCGTAAAAAGGAGATAAAATAGTCGAAAAAATTAAAAAGAATTGATAAAGGCAGAGTAAAGCGCTGAAAAATCGTTTGAGAGCCGGGCAAAGAATCTGGAGTTGCCATCATCGAATTATTTAATATTCTCTTTACTTCGGAGAATGTATTTTCCCGCTTAATGCTTTCGATCGAAGATATCATATACGGAGAAAAGAAACTAACTATACCTTCTTTTATATATTTATAGCGATCCAAATGAAGGGATTGCTGTGAGCAAAGATTTGCAAGCAAAAAAAAAAAAAAATGTGAATTGGGTATCTTAAGAAGGTTTGACAGGTGGACTGACTTAATGATGACTGTACGTTTACCGTGACCGCTGACTCTCTGAAGAAGTAGACACGCTTACTACTCGGTTTTATCACATTCATTTTGTTCAAGTGCAACATCCGCAAGAAAGCTTCAGGAACTCTAAAAGGTGCAGGCTTATTTGATTATTAAGAAATTCTAAATCTAACTGAGCGAGTCCTGTAGAAAAATCGGAAAAACCATTACGTCTACCCAATATCATATATTTTCGACACTTCATTATACATTATCGAAATTTCAGTTTTCCCAAACCGAACGGAATATAATTTTCCTACTTGTTACTAACTTAAGGCCTTAACGTTTTAGCTAATTAGATAATTCTTCGCTAAATAAACATAAAATCGAGAGTAAACCCATTATTGCTAACAAACCACATACAAAAAGGGGGAAGCAAGTAAATGTGGAATTTAGGTTAAATAATTACCTATAGCTTCTGTCAAATTATATAAGAAATTATATATCAAGTTTTTTAAGATATAAAATACATAACATATATTCTTGAATACACTTTCTATCTTACACTCATATGTCATCAGACGCTGGTTGTTATTAAAACATTCGCTCTACACCAAATATAATTTCTTTATTGTTTTTTGTCGACAGAAATTCGACCTTCGTTTTCTAGTTCCCAACGAATTCCATTTAAGTTGATCAAAAGTTAGGAGAAATAAGAGATAGAAGTTTAGATAGTCACACTGGTAATGTCTCTTTAAGTCACAGCAGAGATAGCACCTTTCAAGTTTATAGATAATTTTACACCTAATAAGAAATTGGAAATTGTACTTTAATTGGAATGAATTTTGTTCTGTGCTGTTTCAAGTTTCTCTTCGAAATTATTTGCATTATATTTATTGCATTGCTAGACATTAATCAAAAAGTACAGGCAAATAGTCGATGAAGCAAATGCGGCAAGTTTTTCGTTTTTAAAGTGTTTTTTTTTTTTTTTTGCCCGTTACCCGCTCAATCGAAAACGATTCAACAATTTATAATTATTAAATTTTTTTTTGGTCTTCTGAATAATCTTTGTGTGTTATTCCGAATACTTGAATGTTTTTTGTTGAGAGCATTTTTCCTGTCCTTTTTTTGCAAGTAATTAGTTAAGGGGTATTAGAACTAGAAGAGGAAGGGGTCTGGTGGGCACAAAATTCCTTTGAAACGTTTGTTTTCAGAAAGCCTTGAGACGTTGAAAATATATCGATGACTTAAGAAAAATTTTCATGGAAATGAATGAACGGGAGGAGTATTATTATTAGGCTTCTAAAGGTTTTGTTTCAAGCTCGAAGCAAAAAATTCATCGCAGTGCAGATCATGTAAGAAAGATTTGAACGCCACACAGAAATTGCGGAAGAAATAAATTGAAATAACTTTCAACGCGTTACATAATTCCCACTACTTTATAAGCGACATTAACCTTAGCGGCCCGAAAATGAAGGAAAGTTTAAAAAGGTCCATCGACACAGATCGCTACGAACTCGTGCCAAAAAGTCGTCTTATCGAATAAAAGCTTTATTTGAAAGCTTCGTACGGCGCTGTAAAAGTATTCGCCAGAATGATTTAGATTACTGGAAGTGTAACTCCAATGTTTGCATTATATAAACAAAATTTCTTTATCTATAATGGTAGCGAAATTTCTTCCTATTTCTTTAAGAGAACAAACTGCTGTGAGAATATGAAAAGGAATAAAATAACCTAAGTCACTAATAGCCATATCCTGAGTAATATGATAGAGAAGGCATTATTTTCTGGCTAGTTTCCGGTACTTGACCCTTAGTGTAGCTTAGGACAAAATCAAAATGACTATAACAAAAACACACATTACTTACTCTTTTGATTTGTGGCCAATCGCTACGCCAGAATATACACCTCACCCTTGTTTCTCAGACATTCGTGCATTTCTTTGGAAGCAACTTCTGGCGAAAGGCTAATATAATTTTTAAATATTCTCGATTTCAGTATTCCTGTTACTTATTGATGACCAATATGAAATCAACATATGTAGTGCATAAAGCACTCTTTGTTAATAGCAAATAATAGAAAAATTATAACAATACAGTAATAGTAATATTTTTTTTCTCTAATATAAGTTAAAACATACCCATGACGTTGTTAATCATAATCGAGCGAGTTTTAAAGGAGAAGCAATGTTAACTGTTTTTGTTACTTCATTTTATCCAGAACAAATTTAGAACGTGCCGCGTACAGTTTACATTCATTGCGCTCTTATGGACTGTTATAATTATATATATATACATATATATCTACACATATAAAAATTGAAATAGTTATTTATTTAAAAAGTAAGAAAAAACATTTATTCGAAATTAAAAATTAAAATATTTAACATAAACATATGGTGTGAGCACAAGCACAAGCAATTAAATTTAAAAGCACTTAGAATCCTGAATAGTTTGAAAGCTTGTAAAATAATATAAATATTCTAATATCAGAAACAAGTGAGAAAGTTGTAAGCGTTTCGAAGTGATATTCAAAAGTCCTTGTATTTATTTAACTTATGTGATACTGAATAAACATTGTGCCAAATATTGAGTTGCGACTCGTGAATTATTGTACGAAAGTTTTCAAATAAATTTTAAAAAATAACTGCAAATTTGATCCGTGAACTCGAATTAAAAATGCGTAGTCTAACCTTTGGTTTTTTTTTAACTTCGGGAACAAAAAGTACCCAAACAACACACAACCAAAGAACATGCAAAAGCAATATTGCTATTAAAAAAGTCGCAAATATTGCCGCACTCAATGCTGAGATTGCTAAGAATACTTTCTCTTGGCGGTACATTGTCTCCGGCGATTTGTGCAGACAGTTCTATAAAAAAAAAACTCTTTTCGTTTCAAGTCAATCAATTTGAGGAAATGAATTTTTACTCATTTAATTTTCTTCTTCCTCTGCTACATGGAGATCTACGATATCGATTACAGAAACGGGGCAAAAGTGCAGAAGAAAGGAAATTTACGGAAATTTTTTGGTGAAAGGGACAACGCTTATAGTTTTCTTACTCCCATACATTAATTTTCAGACTCTCAATGCATTCCTTTATAATTTTTTTTTTTTTTTCTGCTTGGCAAAAGAACAATAGGATAGAGGAGAGAATACAGGTTTCAATTTAAAAGACGAACGTGCAACAACAAAATCCCCTTTTGTACTCCTTCATAAGGTTCGTCTCACTAGATCGTGAACAGCGTAGATTTTATTTGTAATTTTTAGAAGCAGTTGGTACAATGTATTCGCAGTTTACCTATTTTTACAACATTTTTGACTTATCTTTTCTTTCCCACTGACCTATGATTGGCTCGACTGTTCTGCTTACCTACCCTCTTACAAGCATCGCGACATTTTTAACCCGTTAATTCGTACTTTCCGCTTAATTTCTGTCAATCGTTTTTAATCTTCTTCGTCAGCGGCCAGCTGCATGACACGCCATGAATGTGCACTTTGGTGTTTTCTTCCGGAAAAACCGACTAATTGTCATGAAAATCGAATCATGAAAAATGGTATTTTAATAACAATACGTAGGTGACAAAATATTATTATAGAGCTTGTGGAAAGAATGCACCTTCTTTTAAAGATGCCCAAATAAAGAAAAATTTTCTTACCATGCCTTGTAATCGCTTTCCTTCTTTGACGATCCGAGTTCTAATTGATTTCCTCGATTAATAACGATCGATGAGGGTTAATAAAACAGAGCATAGTTCTACGTCGGCTCACGTAATTAGCTTACAGCGGCCAATAAAGTATGCGTTTTTTCTATAATCGAATAAAAACCTTTTGACCGTAAAATACCGTCCATCGATTGTAAATTTCAATCGAGTTTACATGTTATCGGGAAACATAATCGGATCCATGGTTACGCTAAAAACAAATCATTGTGTTGAGAAAAGCTCGAGATAGTAAATAGGAGTCCCGATTACCAAGTCCGGGGTTCGCGAATTCAAATCTTAATGCGATTTAACCACATTTTGTCGGAGTCATAGTGAAAGCGCTCAGTTGATAAAGGCGAAGAACTTAGCGATTAAACTTAAAGCAGCCGATCGGTTCAGAATCACTTTGATGTCTGATGTCTATCTATGTATTATTGTGCTTAACCTAAAAGCTTTGAGATATCTTGATGAACTTTGATACATCGGCGTATTTTGGTCCAAGGAGGAACGTTTTTGAAAATGCTTCGGATCAAACCTCTTTTCCAGCCATTTCTCATATAACGCCTTATTTTGAAAGGCCGTTAAGTGAATAATTGTATTAAGCGAAGTATTGTAGGATGCGTTATGGGAGACCGCTATTGGCTTTTGCTTACTTTAAATAAGTTTTAACATTTCGAATCTTAATTAGATCTCGTTAGCGTCAACGCTAAGATTATATTCAAGGTTATAAGGGTAACATAAATCACAAAGAAGCCGGTTAATTGTTTGAGGGGTATTTTGGATATCTTGGACTACTGATCGTGGTAATCCTTGTCAGACTTACAACCTTTGTACCTCAAATCGTAGAGATTTTCAAAATAATTATTATAATTATATGATGCAATCAGTAATAATATGATGTTCTTATCTGCTTTCGTTAATTTAACCCATTAATTTTAAAGATTACATACTGATTTACTTATTATGATTATCTTATAGTTAATTATAGAATATAAAGAATTAATTAAAAAGCACTTCTTTGGGGAGTATCAAAATGGCGAAGCTAGGGCGATTATGGAAAATCTTGACACGACAAAAGAGCAACGATAGCGTTGAAGAAGACTCGAAGCTGGCCCGTGTTTTGAATATATTCGATTTAACAGCATTGGGTGTAGGCAGTACGTTGGGTTTGGCTATTTACGTTCTAGCTGGTTCAGTGGCGTACAATGTAGCCGGGCCGGCTGTAACGCTATCATTCTTAATAGCGGGTATAGCTTCGGCATTTGCAGGTATTTGCTTTGCTGAATTTGCTGCTCGCGTACCCAAGGCGGGCAGTGCGTACACCTACAGTTACATAACTGTTGGAGAATTTGTAGCTTTCACGATCGGCTGGAACTTGATTTTAGAATATGTCATCGGTGAGTAAAATTTTGAAGTCTTCGGAACAATTCAAATAAAATTAATTTGTTTTTGGTTAAATTCTTTTCAGGCACTGCTTCGGTGGCCAGTGGTCTTAGCCGTTATATTGATTCTTTGATGGATAATAAAATGTCTCATTTTTTTCAAAATTTTCTATCAATAGAGGTCGACTTCCTAGGACGATATCCGGACTTTCTGGCTTTCGCCATGGTTTTGTTATTAACTGTTTTATTATCGTTTGGTGTTAAGGAATCGACCTTCCTCAATAATATCTTTACAAGCTTGAATTTATTGACAATTTCTATTGTCATTATAGCTGGTAGCATATACGGTATGATGAAGAAAACAAGTCAATTGAAAATAAAATGCATTGGCATATTAAGATGAAATCTATTTTAGCGGATTCGAATAATTGGTCTTTGGCAACTGAAAATGTGCCGGGAGGTTTCGGTAAAGGTGGGTTTATGCCTTTCGGTTTTGCCGGAGTTATGGCGGGTGCGGCTAAATGTTTCTACGGTTTTGTGGGCTTCGATTGTATCGTAACCACCGGCGAAGAAGCTATCAATCCGAGACGTAACATTCCTTTAGCTATAGTCATATCTTTGATTATTATCTTTTTATCTTATTTCGGTGTTTCAACTGTACTAACCATGATGTTGCCGTATTATAAGCAGGTAAGGAGACAGAGTTTTATAAGATTTCGTCAACTGTAACATTAATATTAGTTGATTTTAGAATCCACATGCACCTTTTCCTACGGCTTTTGAAAGTGTAAACGCAACTGCGATTAAATGGATCGTGACCGTTGGCGCTGTATTTGCCTTATGTGCTAGCCTTTTGGGCGCAATGTTCCCAATGCCGCGTATACTTTATGCCATGGCGAATGATGGTGTTTTATTTAACAAACTATCTGCGGTAAATAACCGAACACAGACACCTTTGCTAGCTACCATAGTATGCGGCATTTTTGCATGTAAGTTCACGAGAAAAAATAAAACTGTACGCTGAGCTGTATGAGGACGCAGATGCTTGAAAGTTTTTGTTCAGGAAATGTTACTTCTTTCAGTTATCTACTACATAATAATTTTCTATTGTCCATTTGTTCGTTATTAAAAAAGTCCTTTTTTTATTTATGTAAATGTTTTCTCCTCCGCTGTGCTTGTAGCTATCATGGCCCTACTGTTTGATGTAAATCAATTGATCGACATGATGTCGATTGGAACACTTATGGCCTATACTATTGTGGCTATTTGCGTTGTGGTATTGCGTTATGAAGATGAATTCAAAAGTGGACGGAACGATAACGGAGAACTTTTACATGTCTGTGCGTCGGCTCTACTCAGACAATCGTTGAATTTGGGTTTATACGAATATCCGAATGTTTTAAGTTCTGCGGTAACAAAAATTGCTATGGTACTATTTGCTATTATTTGCGCTATTTGGTGTAGTTTGCATAAAATCTTCGAAATCGATAGTACGCCAGGTCTTGTACTATCAAGTGCTACTGCTACCGCATTAGTCTTGATTATGATATCAATAGCAATACAACCGGTTGCAAAAGTCGAATTGAGTTTCAAAGTGCCATTGGTGCCGCTAGTACCGTGCTTAAGTGTATTTACAAATTTATATTTAATGTCCCTATTAGATGCTTACACCTGGATACGTTTCGTTATATGGATTGCTTTGGGTTATGCAATATATTTCTTATACGGCGTAAGGAATTCAAAACAAAAAGATAATGATCTTCCTGTGACTATTGTGAGAGAACGGCGTCATCATCTCGGCCTTGAACCAGATTTAAAAACTTATATATCTAATGATCGTAACGTAATGTAAGGCAGGTAAAGAGACTGAGAAAAGTTGATAAGTTTTTTTTTTTTTTATATATGAGAAAAAAATTGATAAAAATAAGAACAAAGTAAAATGAGTTCGCTTCCAGTGTTAACAAAGCCTCTTATCTGGCTACGAGCTCTCAGATATAGTTAATATGTTAAAAGCCTTTAAAATGATCAAAAATTATTTTTTTCCTTTTAAAGCGTCTTTTGAAGGTTTCTATAGGTTTAGTATTAACTTTCAAGCCAAGTTTTAGAATATTTTTATTTTTTTAAATTAATTTACACTTCAAATCATTTTAGAGGTTAAATTTGATTGTTACAATGTTATGGTATTTTTAACATTTATTCTTATTACAAATATATATAAAAGATTGTCTTTTTATTCATAGCGCAGGCTATCAAATGTAATGTCAAACAAACAAAAGGCGTATTTTTTTTTTTTTTGTTTCCAACGATAAAAGCAACAAATATGAGTATATAATTACGTATGTTTTAGAAAAATAATAGAATTTTTTTCTTTTTTAAACTAATAAGTTCAAAGAGTTTATTTATTAATTTAGAAATATACAAAGGCATCAAAATAACCGACATTTAAAACCCTCGGCTCCGATGCATGTTCTTAAATGTTCGTTTTACAAGCTCATCAATAAAATAAGTAACAAGGCCGAATTTTAAATACTATACAGCACTTGGCGTGATGCAGTGCTCCTTTCAACGTCAGTCTATATAATCCAAATTTTTGAATCGACGATTCAATTCAGTATAATAAAAGGTTTACCTACTTGAATCCCATTGTGGGTGTTACATACATTCGCACATACAAAATATACCCTCAATCGTGAGTGATGACGGGTATAACTGAGAAAAAGAAGAAAATTATATTCGGCCTGGATATCCATCATATTTATTTTAGGATGGACAGGATGGACTTTTAAACAGATACTATATCTTCATGTGAGGAATACACGGAATAATTTTCAAGGTTTGTCTTGTTTAATTTGCGATTAATAAGCTAGAAATAGTCAAAAAACTGAAGAAAGAAAATTTAATCACTTATAGTTTTATGCAGGCGTGACAGATTGTTTTCACTTTTTACACTATGTAGTTGTTGCAGAAAATGAAATTGTTTTTACTTTTGAAAACGGAAGTGATCTTAACTTATATTATATCCTTTAATCTGTTTGTGCCATTTTTAATATCAACACTTGCAATGTTTGTACCGAATTCGATGCGGATTACTTTTTTTTGCGGCTAAGAGAATGTTTACCAAAAAGAGAATGTGATGTTAATCAAGAAGATATATATACTTAATGGAGTCGCGGAAGCTTCCTTCTGGGCGTTGCAAATGTTTTGACAAAGTGAATGTACCTCTCACCCTTCGGTGATGGATATAATATAACTTAATTCGAAAACCATTGCATTTCTCTTGATATTTAAAACAGTAGTAGAATGGATGTTAGCAGTGTAATGAAAAAGTTATTAATGATTTTTTTCTTCAAAAAAAAGTCTTAATCACCACAAAAACATTATAAAAGAACACATAATTTAACGCATTAATAACATGATCACGTTAGAGTATGACTAAGCGCCTTATTGACAATTATAACATGCAAAGTGCGGCTTACTTTCAAACACAATGTTGCAGACGCATTCAAACGAACTTATCGCACATTAACGTTAGACAAATTGCTAGATCAATTTAATAGCTACTTAACATAGATGTTGATATTTCGTTTCTTATGTTATTTCTCTATATAAAGAGAAAGTTAATTTGGGTTTTGAAAGTGTCTCATTAAAAACGAAAAGTTAATAATAATTTATGTTTTTCCTTCGGTAGAAGCCAATCTTTATAATTTGCAATTTTCTTTACATATTGTTCAACGTTTTTAAATAAATAAAACAACAATGTAAAATAAGTAAGAAAACTACATTCACTTCAGATGGAAAATTACGGACATCCCTCATTATTAGGTTGCTTGAGCATGAGTAGAATGCAATGTCAAAAATTGATCTGTGGAATTAAAGTGAAAATTTTGCTTACGAACATTCAGTCTTCTATCTTAGCTTTTAAGTTCATTGGCTTTTCAAAAGCAGACGGCAGACAGGTAGAGATTTTCGCGTCGACTCGGATGAAAAATTTGCAGACTTTCTGCAGGCTCGCCTGAATATAATTGAGCGCTGCAGCATATCTTTGTTTCTCAGTTGTAGGTATAAAAATTCTCTTATAGTTGCCATCTATATACAAGGCAGCGTACGTTACATAACCGATCTAGGAGAGAAATACTACAAGAAAACCATTTTTTTTCTTTTTTTTTTTTTTTTTGAGATTGAATCGAAGAGTTTTACACAAATTTCTTCTATATAAAACTATTACTATGTGACGTTAGTGTGGAGGTAAAACTTTTTCATAAAAAATCATGGTTTCCTTATGCTATATAAAACTATTGATAGTATAAAGAGAATATGCTTGTTTCTCGAAACTACGATAACAACTTCGGCGAAGACGTTTTAACCCAATGTAGACCATCCTAAAAGATGCGCTGCACCATGCACACAAACACGTTGCATGAAAGTCACAACTCAGGAAGACTATAAAGGATAGAGGGAATACTGCTGCTGCCAAAAAAAACTACCAAGCCAGTCAATTCGCCCCTTTTCAACTGTCAAGCGGTTATAAAACAATAAAATAGGTTTTAAAATTTATTTGTTGGTTGGAAACTTGATTCCTTTGAATACATATAGGAATATAAAATTTGCAAAAACATTTCTTGATCGGTTAGAAACTACAGTTATTGGCTGAGTTGCTAACACATCAAGTAAAGTTTGCGCTCCATTCCACCTTTCCATCTTTATTTTTGGGCCTTTGGCAATTTTAAGAGAAAACTGGGTCAAACTGATAGTTATATGTAGAACATTGGCGTTTCCAGTTAATAAAGTTGACATATATAAGTGAATTTAAATTAAATAAATAAAATTTTTGCTTAACACTATTCAATAATTTTTAAACCGCATACACATCTTTGCTGACCACCGGCAACAATTATATGAAACGATTTTTACGAGGAGTTTGGATTGCTGGCAAAGTAGGCATAAACAACTGTGGAATTCTGTTTTCCATTTGTTGCACACGCAACCGCACACAGACACTTAGCAAAACTATATTATTATTATCTCATTTTACTGACATAAAAAAATCGTTAGATGGTAGCAGAAGGATATTTTAGATCTTATTATCTAAGCTATGAATAAATTTGCAGAATTAAATATCGCACTAAATGTGACATTCCTTTCAGATGGCAATGAGTGCACAAATATTTTTTTATTTAACATAATTTTAAAGGCTCTGCCAATAAGAATGAAAGTTAAGCAGTGATGACAAAAAGAAAAAAAAGCGCAACACAGAATTCATTATTTATTTCTCAAGTGATTATATTATTATGCAAACATTTCATTGTTGGCATCCCCTTTGGTAACGTTTCTGTTAAAATAATTCTAAAATCTGTTATTGCTAACAATATTCCGATGAGTAAGCAAACATATATATACATCATGGTTCAATTGCTTCAAAATGCGTGAGAGTGGAAACAGCTTAAATATGAAACGAGCAAACTATTTCTTAAAATCAAAGCATTCATATTTATATATAAAATATGTATATTTGTGTATGTATATATAAACATATAATAAATACAATAGAATCCACCATGTGTTAAGTAACATTATGAATTGAAACACTTGCTCTCTTTCATCTCATAATTTGAATCGTCTCTCTTAATATTGATAACAGTATCTTGTTAACTCTTACCGTTTAAATAATATCGCAATAACAAAAAAAAAGAAAAAAATGCTAAAAGCATTGAATTGCAATCCAATGTTGCAATGTTATTGGCATAATAACTATATTTAGTAAAAACATCAGGAAATGGAACAAATAGTTTCTCTTGGCTTAAATGCATTCAATGCCGTCCCCGGGTGCGTGCTTGGATGCTTTGGCTCCTATGCAAGTTTTTTGAGCTTTTAACAAACTACGTTTACAAAGAGAAGACTTAGTAATAAATCGATAACTGGACAGTTATTTATCTATGTAATGAACCGCAAAAAGATGCGAACGCACTTGTCTATTATCAGTTTCATAATGCAAATAAGTAAAGAGCTTTGAACACTTTGAATTAATAAGTTTTCTTTTGAAAATAAATAAGCAAAATTATTGAATCTACTTACAAGTAAAGTACGTTTTTTTTTTACCACAACACACCTCGTAAATTGCTCGAAAATGTTAACTGAAAGATGAAATGGTTGAATGAAAAGATTTATAAGCAATTGGCATATAATTAAAGTACTATAATTAAAATTAAGCCCTCTTAAGTATAAGCAAAGATTTTAAATATCACAAATGAATAGCATAAGTAGCTATCCCCGCACCCGTTTTAATATCATGCCCCTTCTTCATTAATGCTGTTTCCTTCGTTGTTGCAATTAATTGATTGTTGTTATTGAGCGTACAAATCAGTTCGGTCGGTAAGAGAGATTGTTACTAGTACTATCGGACTGTCACTCCTTCAATTGAAATTCCGTAAGTTATCGTAGTAAGGCGTACACAACAAGATAGTGGGTTTTTGCTTTCCATGATTTGCTGCAAAATCCCAAAAACTTTATCAAGAATATCCATTGTTTTTTCTTATCCCTAGCGACCGGTGATAAAGCTAGTAAACAGTTTTTGCCCCTTTTTTTCTATATGTCCAGTCATCAGGTTATAGGTAGAAAGGGATGGAAAAGCGGAGTATTGTTTGCCTACGTTTGACTTAATAGAATTGCGAGTCGTATCGGCCTCCGCTCTGTCTCTTCTTAAGAATGTAATAATGCTTGCATTATGCTAAATAGATGTCTAAAGTTAACGTTTGAAAGCAAAAGTTGCTGTATTGATTTCTTTTCCATCCAATTTCTTTTACTGGTTTGAATAAAATCAGGAATCTCTTGGTCCCCAGGCTACGTATGACTTGTTGATAACAGTTTAGGAATCTCTTAAATAACGCATTTAGAGATTGAGAAAAGTTCACCTCCATCACTCCATCCCCTTGAGCCATCAAGGGAAAATACATTGTCTTAAAAATATTCTTGTTTAAAATATTATAAGATTTTCTTTTTATCTCAAAAGTTATATATAGTACCACTGTGATAGTCGTTGCCGGTCGATCATATTTACCCATTTAAAAAAAAAAATTTATTATTATTATTATTATGTTAGACTAATGAAATAAATTCTCAGACTAAAAAAAAGACATTGAGCACCAGCAACACAGGCTATCGGCTCTAATTTATAAAAGTACATTAGATATTGAGTCTAATAGTTTCAATAAAGTAACATATTGTATAGATATTCTGTTATGTAGCTGTTTGCAGAATGTCCATAAGATTAGTCGCTCCAAATGCAATACTGCTAGTCAAGGGAAAGTTAACGCAGTCACAGAGAATGTGCTTTATAGTGAGAATTTGTCCACAACTGAAGATTGGGGAGGAAGACTTCTTTAAGATCCATTGGTGAGTGGCAATCGTACGACCAAGGCGAATTCTCGAAAATGTTTGGATCTTAATTTTCCCAACATTTGTTGGATATAAAGGTGTAATTTATTGAGGATTAATAGAAGAGTAGTGCTGATGATGGCATTGATTTCCTTCTGTAGTTTTCTCTTTAACATTTTTTCCAACGTACCTTTGAAGATCCAACTTTTCCACGACATCATCCGTAACTAGATGTGCGGAAGCAGCATACTTCGCCGCTCGATCAGCCTGCTCATTTCCGAATAAACCGATATGACTTGGTATCCAAAACATTTTAATTTCTTCGCCGGGTATTGCAATGATATTCCTTACTTTGTGGATGCTGCTCCATCTCGACGTCGCAGGATTTCGTATAGCTTTTAATACAGACAAATTGTCAATAACAATGACTCTTTTGAGTTTGTCTTTATAGGAAAAGTTTGGAGCGTAAAGGACAGCCTTGACTTCGGTCGTGAAAGTTGAAGAACTTTCGTGAAATATGTGATTGAGAAGAACTGATTAAAGACTTAAATAAATCGTAAAGAAAAAATATATTAGAACTCGCCTTTTTATAAAAAAAAATTTTTGTTCTTCTTTCATAAACCTCGCAAACGCAAAATTTCTGTTTTCTAAAGTCTGACTCAAGTTTTATTCTCGCTTGCCATTCCTTGTTGAAGAATCGAAGATTTCATCAATATGATCATCTTAAGGCGAATAAAACATTGAAGAGGTCATTATTAACCATTTAAAAAAGAAAGTGCAACACAAATTTAACGAATGCAACCCAACGGTAGCACGAACAGTACGCAGTTAAACAGTGGACAAAAATTTAAATCTTTGCTATCAGTACTTCGAGCAGAAGGAACATTGTAAAAAGTTTAAATGCTTCGCAATGCGTGAATAACGAAGATGCAAGCGTGGAGTCATCAAACGTCATTGCATCGCTGCTCCGGCAGTGAATGATGCATGCGAATCATGCGATGACTGCAATTCATCGTAAACTCTGCTTAGATTCAGGTAGAAATCCAAGTTGTCTGTGAAAAGCCCGCTATTTAGCTAACACCACCATGGATGCCGGATGGGCAAAAAGCTACATCTGAATTACCGAGTAATCGTCGATGGCTTATAAAAAATTTTCTTAACAAGCCATCGCAAATAAGTTTGCATTGGATGCCAATACTACGAATCACTGAAGCGGCCATACCCCTTATTGTCAATGCCACCGTGTCTTTCAATAAAATAAAACTTTCTGCGAAATTGCCGCTAAGAACCCAAAGATTAGGTAGAGAAATGCTTGTCTTGCAACCTTGTCTAAAACTAACTTATAAAGATTTGTGAATGGCAACTTCCTACGGCGGCAATGGATATTTTTGTGGGACAAGTGCATTCTCTGCCTTTAACAGAATGTTGATGCCATCGATCAAAAACCTATGGACTAAATTTCGCTTGCGAGCAAAATAAAGACGATAGCTGAAGTCAAATAGTGTTGTTCTAAATAGTTTTGCGACATTAACAGATTGGATCAACGCAAGTGCCGTAATTGACTACGTTATCTATGCTGAGCATGATTGCTTGATGATTTATGGAGCAGTTGAAGTAAAGTTTCATAAGATAACAACACTTGTCGAAACGTAATACGTCTCTTTTAACTATATTTTAATGAACTTTTTGGCATTTTTATAAACTATATATGTATGCTATTTACTTTATTTTTTATTCAAATATAATAAATATATATAAAAAAATATATAAAAGTGATATAAAGTCTTGTAAAGGAGGAGAAGGTATCTCAATAAATAGTAAAACTAGTAATAAACGAAGAATAGGGATAGTTGAAACCAAAGGCTGTCGCGCATAAATCAAAATAAACGAAATGAATGAATGATTCATTGATTAATTTTATTATTATTATTATTATTATTTATTGAATATTATTATTACGACTAATTGAATATTAAGTAACAAGTGTCGCTTTAGGGCGGGTATCTCTTTCTTACTCAGCAAGTATACAAAACTAAATAAAGATCGATGAGGAATGAAGAGTAGCTCTTGCTGGAAATTATTTCATATCTAATCTTTCGTCGAATTCTTCTAAGAGATTCCATTTAATTTTAAACACATATTGTTGCGTAGTACGCATAACTTCAACAAAATATTTCTTACTTAGTTCTAACGTCGTCTAAGCATGTTATTTTCCAAAAAATTCTCTTCGCATCATAAAACTTCAAAAAATCCTTGTATTATTGTTAATTTGGCCCGTAAACTGAAATTTTGGAGAATAACTCTACGAGGCGGACATGAATAGGTTAATGTTTCGATGAAGAATGCAAAGTGCAAAGGCCTATTATATGACGTCTAAATCTGTTTATTTCCGTCGCCGCACACCCCTAAAGCCTTGTATTACGATATCGGAATGGGAGCATTTATTATATTTGTACCTTGACGCATGAAATCTGTTTTTTTTTTTTTATATGATCAATCGCTCAATCAATCACTTTCCATGCCTGTATTAGGGTGATAAGCAGGCCAAGCATACCCAATCTGTAAATGCTCTCTCACCATAAGTGCGATCGCATACCAATCGTAATTAATCGTAATTATCTCACTCAGAATCACACCTGGGTATGTCGATTTAAGTGTCGCACTTTTTAATTCCTTATCTATTCGATAGAGACGATTTTGCATAGGTAACTGTACCTACGAACCGATCTACATGGTATAACCTAATGCAAGTAAGAAGAAAACATTTCAAATCTATTTGCTTTCCAAGACAAAGTTTCCAGCTAATAATTTTGACTGCCAGACATGGGCGGATAGCCTGGTCAAAATTACTAATTACACAATTCAAAAATTTGTCAAGAATATTTATACTTAACAGTCAGTGTCTTCGAAAGTTATACTCATAATATCCTGCGTGATAGTTGTGCAAATATCTATAAGAAATTTCACTAACATACTTGATGATGGATAGACAGGCTTACTTGGCTAAATTGCTGAACTGATTAGCAATATTTACACCATTTTGATATTTGAAGCATTTCTATGTCGTTTTGATAAAATTCTATTCTAATCATATTAAACCTGTTAAAATTTTAACGATAAATTTGCCATTGGGTAGAGTGTGCAAAAGCTGAAATCATTATAAGTTAATTAGATAAGTTTAAATTTTATATAAAAAAGTAAAAAAAATAAAATAAAACAAAGCTATAAATATTCCGCACAAGGTTTAGAGCAAAAATAGTATTTAAAAGTTGATGGAATATAGTTAATCGTGTGTTTACCACGATCGGATTAAGTGAAATTTTTCTTCATCCTTCTTTGTTTTTATTGATTGCAAGGCATAAAATGTTTAAATTATTTTTTGCCATAACACTGTTAGCTTTCGCCAAAGCTGATTTAAAAAGTTTACCTTTAAAGAGGACGGAGAACTTTCAAAAATCTTATGGCAATATTTTAGCAGAATTAGCGCTGTTGCGTAGCAAATATGGATTGCCTAGCAATGATGGTGCGGTCAGACAACAATTATCTAATCACCTGAATGTGGAGTATTATGGCAAGATTACTGTTGGTACTCCGCCTCAAGAATTTCTTGTTCTATTTGATACGGGTTCTTCAAATTTCTGGATCCCGTCCAGCCGTTGTCCTGTCAGCAATCAAGCTTGTCATAAACATCATCGATATAATTCGTCAGCTTCTAGCACTTACATACCTAATAATGAACCCTTTTCTATTCAATATGGATCTGGAAGCGCGAAAGGATTCTTCTCAACTGATATTATAAACGTTGGTGGTTTCGCTATTGAAAATCAAACCTTTGCGGAAACTACTGAAACTCCCAGCACCATATTTATGGAAACAAATTTTGACGGTGTCTTTGGTTTGGGATTCAAAAATATTGCTATTAATGATGTGGTGCCGCCTTTCTACAATATGTACGCCCAGGGTCTAATCGATAGGAATGTCTTCTCTTTTCACTTGAAGCGCGATGGTACTAACGTTAATGGCGGACAATTGATTTTTGGCGGTTCTGATGCCAGCTTATATTCCGGTAATCTAACTTATGTTCCAATTAGCGTTCAAGGCTATTGGCAATTTGAAGTAGATAGCATCACTATTGCAGACGTCAAGCTATGCAATCGCTGCCAAGCTATTGCTGATACCGGTACTAGCTTAATTGTGTGCCCTAAAGAAGCTTATCTAACTTTGAACAAATATATCGGCGGTATAGCTATGGAAGCGGAAGGACTATATTTGGTAGATTGCTCGACAGTTTCCAGTTTGCCCGACATTGACTTAACTATTGGAGGCACGACGTTTTCTTTAACGCCTAATATGTACATTACCACTGTTCATAGCGATATCATAGAGTTTTGTTTTTCTTCCTTTACCACTTTAGACATGGATTTATGGGTCTTAGGAGATACATTTATAGGACCTTATTATACTGAATTTGATTTAGGCAATAACCGCATTGGTTTTGCTCCAGCTGTTTAGATGCAAATTGAAATAAATTTTAAAGAATCATTATAAAATGAATATAGGCGACAAGATCTCTCAACGGATTTTATAAATTATATTTTAGACAAAAAAAAATATCATCTGTTTTTGTTCTAAAGATAAAGAAATAAAGTATTAGCACTAAAAATATTCTACCAAACTATTCATATGGGTACAAACATTTTTGCGTTCAGTTCATTTTCAAAACTGAAGATTTTGAAGAACGTTTATTACTCAAATCTTGATTATTACTTTGCTATTCCTACCATCCTTTCGAAACGCATTGATTACATTTTCAATTAAAGAAAATGTAGAACGAACAAGTAAGAAAATTGTATTCGGGTGTGGGCGAATCTTCTTCTCGCACCACCTTCCATATGAGATGTATCGAGCAAACTCGGGGACTTTTATTTTATTTTTTCCTTTTATATTCTTACCTTTTTTTTGGGACCCCGCAGTTTCCAGCTCTAGACTGTCAATGGGAAAGGCCTATTGGTGGAGTTTCGTGGTGGCTCTGGTTGACCAAATCGCGCAAAACTATACTTATCAGATATACACTAATAGGATTTCTACAAGTTCGACTATTTTTTAGTTTTAAAATGTAGCGATTCCTTAAGTTTTTTACAACTCTGTCCCCGTTTGTCTAAGGACTTCATACATTATATATTCCCTGAGCTGATTAATCTGCTGATTGACGAACCTCGCTACAGCATTTATGGGTTTCGATTCGTCCCTAAAGTCTTAAGACGTTAAACGACGCCCGTTAAGATTTCCCTTCTAAAAGCTCTTCAAAACTGCTCGGAAGCTATAAACTGTTTCTCAACTGGCTTAAGCGTTATTAACTAACTTAAAAATTAGTTTTTTTGAATCCAACAGGGTAAAATCTGTTTAATCTGTTTAATGTCGAGTAAGAGGTAAAAACTTGGATTCCGCTCGATAAGTCTACACAGCCTTAGAGGCTGTACTTGTTTGAATATTTCTCTTAGTACTGTACGCATATACTGAATCTGTACTTCCTGCATTTTCCTTAACAACGCGTTTAATAAAATTTAAAAACATAAACCTTCTGGAACGAGACGTTTTAACGGTTAGAATATTTCCTTTGTTACTGAAATTATTAAAGATTTATCAATAGACACTGAGCTCTTATGCGCAATTCAGTGCATTTATCGCATTTTCTTTGATCTGTTTTCATAGACTTCCAGTAATTGTTGGTAAATAAGTTAGTTCTGATTTAATCATAATTATGGTACAATATGCACGTTGTTGCTGTGCTGTGTTTTAATATTCGGAATATTTCTATACATCACTATTCATAGCTTCATGCTTTCATATAAATAATAATGATATTCTCTATTACGGCTTCAACACGAATCATTTACATTACTATGCAAGTATTTATTTTCAATTCAATCAGCTTGTATGTGCTTAATGCCAACTCTCGAAACAATCACTATGACAACCACTCAATACGAGAGCAGTGGTGGTAAGCTTTATAATTATTTTTGTTAACAAAGCATTCTACTTATAGACATGTTATTTTAAGAAGGAAGGGACTTGAGAGAAATGTTGTAAGTTGCTGCTTAGATATACTAAGAATATTTCATTCAAATGATGTTTAAATTTTTGTGTACATACTATAGAATTTTTATCTATTTAGAAAAATCGAAAGAAAAACAAAAAGCATCAAAACGCAGTATCTTTCTAGGGTTAAACGAAACATTTAGTCCTAACCCTTGTGGCATGCATCTTTCCTTCTATTATCCAGTTTTGAAATGTTTTCAGTCGCCAAAAATTGAGACAAAAAAACAGATCTTGAGCAAACACGTCGGAAAACAACGCGATTTACTTACAACCAAGAGATACAAATCAATAGTTGCGCAATTTACAATCTTTGCCTAATATAGCTCTTATATGAAAAAAATACTTTCACGATATAAAACAAAGAGGAGTTGTTGACTTATGTTTATTGGATTAAAATGTATTTCATGATATAAGCCAAAGGAGAGAATTTTTGACTAATATCGCATGTATTGGAAAAAAAATTCTTCCATGATATAAAGCAGCTAGTCAGTCTTTGACTGATGTCGTATTTATTCGAATTGAACTTTTTCATGACATAAACCTGCGTGAGTAAAACAGAAAAACAAAGGGAAGAATATTTCTCATAATGGAAGTAATGGAAGTATATATATATATATATATATATATATATGTGTGTATATGTAATATATATATATATGTATATATATATGTGTGTATATGTAATATATATATATATGTATATATATAAAAAGTTGTCCAAAAAATCACACCAACTTGTCGGAACAGATATATTTAAAGGATTGTGAGAAACAATTAATGATTTCTGGCTTTGAAAAATTCATTGTTGAACTATTTTCAGTGTATAGAATGGAAGAATTAAAACAAAAGTCAAATTAAATTTCAAATATCGCACGCATTTGAAAGAAAACCGCAGACGCCTGAAAATTACTGATAAAAACTCACATTCACATATAACCTCAATATGATAATGATAGGAGTGAGTGATCATTCTGTGAATATGTAGACAATGTGATGACAAAGGACAAAAATCCAAAAAATCATCAAAAGACAAACGAATATGAGAAACGAATTCGAACGAATACATATACTATTTACTAGCTCGACATAAATAGAAAAAGAATGAAATAAAACTGAGCGCATGGTAGAAGTGTGAAGTTATGAATGAAAACCAGAAATTTTAAGGGATGATAGTCTAGAGTTGAATTATATTGAAGTACAATGCCGAAATTTTATGACTTTCCTGGCTTACGTTCAGTGAATGGTTAACAAGCGCTCGCAGTTCAATCATCCGCAAGCGCAATTTCCTTCTAGTGGGATAAATTCACTCTTTATTATATCGATCTAAGCTTGTATGTCCGTTTGTCCATCTGGTTTTCTTGTGTTCAACCTACAACCCGGAATTTTTAATATATCTTCATGAAATTTGATAGGCCGGCGGGTTTTCATCCAAGGACGAATCCTATTGAAAACAGTTCGGATTGGACAATTTTTTCAATCACTTTCTATGTAATGCCCTATTTTGAAAAATTGTTAAATGCAAAATTGTAGGGCGATGTAATGTATTTAATGGTGAGCCGTGGCCCCCTATAATGTTTTTACTTTCTTGTAATTATAAATTACTTATAAACATTTTTGTGATGATAGCGATGCGATAACTTTAGTTATCATTTCGATTAAGAGAATAGAGCCGCTAATGAGCGTTTAGTTAATTGCAGCAGAAAGCCTTCAACCTTTTTTTAAATTTTTTATTAGCACTAACCGCAACAGATTTCTGAAGCACTTAGACGATGTTTTTTGCTATTATGAACAACCTTTTACCCTCTGAATGTTGCTTTCAATAATTAAGAAAGTTTTCTTGATGGATGGATGGATGGTTTTGCTTTAAATAAATTGACCAAATGTATTCCTTTACTCTTAAGTTAAAATTGTGTTCTCTTTTTTTACTCATTGCATTTTAAAGTCTCTTCAGTGAACATAATTAAGGCGTCTGTTATGATTTTCATCTTTTTTCAAGCTTCTATTGCCAATTTAATGTTATGGCATACAAATCGTTTGAATATTCATTCATACAATTTGCGTACTTTGCTGAGATTACAGCAGTAATAACGATAGTTGAGCGATTGTTTCAGTGGAATTTGCGAGAGCCAAATAGTCATCGAGCAATTAAATTTAAGACCGCGAATTGTCAGTTACATATAATACTAAGCAAATAGCTTCCTAAGCTTGACAAAAAATCTCGCGTTGCTTCGTAAATGTTCTTTTGGATAAAATTTTTTTTATATTAACATATCAGACCTTGAACATCTTCAGACCTTTTCGTATATTATATCTGCCTTTCTTTTCTTTTTGAAAAGTATTGAAACATATTCTAGTTTCTACATAGAGTAATGTTACTTTTACAAAGCTTGTTGTTATTTCACCGCTTTACTTTCATTGTCAGATTTACTCTTAAGGAATTTTTCCCCTCAGAACTTTTTGTGAAAAAATGCACTTTCATTACAACAAAAACTGATTCAAATTTAATTAAATTAAAGAATTTTTCCTTGAATTTGATTTAAAATGAATAAAATTTAAGACAAATTTTTCTCTTATTCAGTCAGCTGGACGCGTAGCTATAGTGGCGACCCTGTTTTTATCAATTTGTTTACGTAACTATTAACTTGAAGAGAGTTGAGGATTTTATCCTAGAAAAGATTAAGTACAAAAGTTCAAGTTCAAAAAAATTTAGTTCAGTTTGTTTACAACGATATTCGGGAGAGCGATACTATTATATTAGCGAGTTTACATAAACTAACGTAGAGAAGCAACAGCAGGTGAAGTCTTCAGTAGCACCGTCAAGCCTACCAGGCATCCACAGGATCCACAGTATTTTATGAAGTACTGACAACCGAAGGTAACCAAAACAGTTTCTTCGATTCACAAGAAACCTTGCTTACATCAGTGAAGGAATAATTTTCACACGAAATTTAACAAAGGTCCTGCTTCAACTATATTTTAAGTTATGTAGGAAATAATAAAAAAATAAAATTGTGAGGAAATATAATAAATTAGAGCAACATATAAATTCGCCTGTTTATAAATGATGATTAATGAAATACGGATAAAAATGAATTCAATGAATCAACATGAGACAAGGGGTTGTATGTACTGGCCAATTGAAGTTTTGCCATACGTCAGATAAAAATAAGTTGGGCCAGTTAAGAAAATGGCTCGTCGTAGATAGCTTTCCATGGATTTAGACGTCTTAGCTTAAAAGACCTGTAGAGTATCCGTTCAACACTACGCCGACTTAGATAAAGAGGAGTTTTTACGACTTACGACGGCATTGCCTGTGTTAACGCATCCTAGTGTTCAAATTCAGCACTCTCAATGACACGCCAACTTTTGGTAAGCTATCCCTTCCCCTTCCGCTTTATTGTTCCAAAAAATATTTTCTGTTAAAGGTTACGTTAACTATAGCTAATGAGAAAGCATCTCCCCCACCGCTCACCAATTTCATCGTTTTAGGATCGTCTCCTACTTGATGATTAACTGATGATTATCTTCATATATCTCTATACGATAATAATAATCAAAAAGATTTCATAGAAAATATATTCTGGAATACCTTAAAGCGATGCGAAACTTCTCTTTGCTTATTAAAATCTTTTGATTGCAACGCATCGCTAATTAGGGAGGAATTT